TATATATATATATATATATATATATATATATATATACATATGTGTATATATATGTATATATATATATATATATATATATATGTGTGTATATATGTATACATATATATATATATACATATATATACACACATATATATATACATATATATATATATGTGTGTGAATAAAATAGTTGCCAGCTCTGATTCTCTCTGCTACTGCCAATGTGACAATGCGAGAAAACTAAACAAAAACAAACAAAATAACCTATTTCATGCAAGCAGCTGATGTGATGGTGAACAGGAAGAGGAAAACTGCAACAAAAAAAGCTTTGGGACGAGCTACAAGAAGTGATGATGCAGAGGGAAGGAGAGAGGAGGTTACAGGTATGCCTGCTGGGACTAACACATGGGGATTTAAACAGGCTGTAGCTGCTGGAGAGAGAGAGAGGCCCGCGGAGTAAAGGCGATGACCTGCCCCCCCTCTGAAGCTCAGGCTTGTGCAATTTAGCAGCTGAGGGGATACATCCAATTAGTGTCATGGCCTTATGTTGTGGATTTTTATGAGCTGAGGTCAGCAGGGACAGCTGTGGTCCAAACTAGGACCAGTTGTCTCCACTGTCATTAAAACGGGGGCCTCAGACAGAGTGAGAGGATGGACTTGAGCAGACAGACGATTACACACATGAAGCACAATGCGAGGACACACAGGTCTTGGCCCGTAACAGGCTGCACGGTCTAGCTTATTGAATGGACAGAGTTATTTGAGGTGAAATATTTGTGTGAAATGCAGTCAAGTGTCATGCCGAATTGGGTAATACAGTATATATAGTGTGAACTTTAGCTTATCCACATGACAAAAAGCCCCCTTGAGGTGCAGAGGTAGCACCTTGTTTTGACCCTGTTCCAGAATCAGTGACGTGAGGATCCCTGTAAAAAGATGGAGTACAATTCTGAGGTGTGTTCGCCGCTCGTATGTCGAGACGGATTTTGAGCCTGCCGAGGTTTACCAACACATAACCTTGTACAGTAAAATACAACCGGCCTAACAGACAGTTCTACAAAGCTGAGTGCAGAAACAGGTTTGAAGGCAAAAAAAAAAAAAATGAAACAAACAAAAAATAATAATAATAAAACATCGTTTAAATTTCTTCATATCAGCTCATTTTAAATAGCACGCATGGCGTGTCAAGTTAAAACAGTATTTCTTTCATAACTACCACAGGTTTGTGATAAAAAATAGTTTTTCAAGCATACCTTTATACAATATTTAACACGCATACACATACTCTCTCTCACACACACACATATATTTACACTCCTTTTGTTGGATAATTCTAACATCTGTCCTCTTGTTTTAAATGAGTGTATTTGTTCTGAGGAGGTTTCTGATAAGCCAAACAATAATCGAGTAATTTCACATTATACAGCCCCACATACTGTACCTTCTTGAAACACACACATTCACACACCTGGACAGATCCCTTCTTTTGTTTAAGCAGACATTTGCATAGCGTTACAAAGATATTCTGAGCAGCAACAGTGAATGCTGACAGGTATTTTTTCCTAGATTATCCTTCCTATTGGCATAGAGCCACAGGAAAGTGAATAGTAATTGGAGCTCTATCCCCTCATTCACAAATCTGCACACACACACCACATAAAATGACAACCCTGGTCTATTAACATGAGGATTTTTGTACAGCTCCTAAAATTATACCTACTTTTGTTCATATTTACATATGTATACACCTTTTAAATATAGATAAAATATCTAAGACAACAGTCCAATAGGTTACAGTAACAATAAGCACCATTATGGCAACACTGGCAAGCTTCTCACTACACGTGATAGGAGAAAGCAAGGTTGGGATAAGCTGAGCTGGCTGCACTAAGCTGGGTCAGCTGCTTAGTAATACAGAGGAGTCCGTCTTTGGCCATTGTGCTTCTGTTCTCCAAAGCTGCAAACAAAATTAAGAGGGTGTTTTTAGTACATTAAAGTGAAACAAAGATGTAAAATAAATATGAAAAAATGACTTATGGATCTGCTGAAGTTGTTGAATCTCACCTCAGCTAGCCTGTCGGCCACTGCTGCTCTCAGCTGCCTCTAACTCCAAGTCTTGGAGCTCCATGGCCTCCACCTTGAAGTCTCTGGTCTCTGTGTGAGTGTAGACTGGTACATGTGGGTCCTGAAAGGTTGCCTCAGGCTCCTCTGGCCCTGTTGGGCAGTAACTGTCTGCCGCAGTGTATTCTGGGAATGAGGAAGCTGGACTTTGGGTGGAGAAGGAGGCTGGGTGGACAGCAACAGTGACTGAGGCAGACGCTGTTACTGTGGTGATGGGTTGACAGAACGGGGTGTTGCTCGTGTGCTGGTGTGGGAGATGATGCTGAGGCTGTGGGTTGTGGGAAGAGTGGCCTCTGTGGCCGGCTGAGTGTTCTCTGGGGCCTTGTGAGCCATGATGGCCCCCGGCCTCAGTAAATGTTTCAAAAGCGTCCGTGCGCAGTCGAGCAGGGGGTGGGACCTGACGGTGAAGCTGGCTCCTGAGGTTCCTGCTGCTGTTTCGCTGAGTCGTTCCATGCTGAAGCCCAGAATCACAACCCTGAGAGGGATAAGACTGCAGAAAAAGATGCTTATAAGAAAAAATTACTATCTTCAATTAAAAAAATAAGACATGCAAATAAAATGGACGTATTTCCTTACTGAAGACACAGTATAGGCTGGGGGATTAGGCTGTCTGGGTGATCGCCTGTGCCATGATCCCTCTCTTCTTTCCTCCTCCATCTGGGCAGCTCTGCCCCTGCTGGTGTGGAGATGGTACTGCTGCTCCTCTGATTGAGTTTGCCCTCTTTGGGAGTGCAGGTTGTAATTCTGCACCTCCTGGCTAATTCCAGAGGCATTGGTGTTTGAGCTGTACTCTGAGTCTGAGGAGTCTGTAGCTGCACCAGAGGTGGTAGAGGCACCTGCAGTTTGGTGAGGATGAACTGAGAAGTGGACCACTCGAGGAGGAGCCTCTGGAGATGGAGTGGGTAACCGACTATGGCCATCAGCTGGTGATACCTTAGCAATGAAAGAAGAAAAATAGGATATAAAAAACATCTCATTCCAAGCTGAATAATATTTCCTTATCATGCTGTCGTTGTTTACCTCTGGATAGGGTCCAAAGTATGAAAGTAATACTGGGAGAAGGACCAATCCATTCAGTACTCCAAGGACTGTTAGAAAAGCTAACACTGCAAAGAAATACCTGCAATACAACCCACAAACACAAAACAGGTTAAAAGGTGACATAAAGTGGAATATACAATCAGTGATTAAATGCTGAGAAGTCAACATGCATTTTCTTTAGCTTTACTCCATGACATAAAGAAGCACAGACTAAAAATACAAGAAAAAAAACAAACAAATGGAGAAAATACTCGACGCAGAAAAATGAAAATGCTTCTCAGACCAACACAAACAGACATGAAGAAACAAGGAAAATACCTGCGCAGGCCGCAGATGTTTATACTTAGGGAGACATGTGCAAGATCAACCGTTACACATGCCCAGAATAATACTTCCACAAAGACAACCAGCCACTCCCCAAACAAACGTACACAGAGAAGCCCCCCCACAGACAGACAGGCAAGGTGTGCACTGTGGTTTTGAGGAGCAGAACAGAAAGGTACCTTTTCTGTGTGTGTCTAAGTCCAGCCAAAGAGGGTTAGTCTTAAAGAAGCCAAAGATGGAAAAAAGAGAGGAAGCATAATTAGCCAGAGTTGGTTAATTCAAAGGCGCAAGAAGAAAGGGAGGTGGGGGAGAAGAAGGGGTTGGGGGGTATCGGGGGCAAGGGCACTCTCTTGGGTGTGTGGCGTATAAGCAAACATGGGGAAAACAAAGCGGAGAGGAATGTGAAGGGAGGGTGTAAAGGAGGTTGATGGGGGGACTTTGGGGGGTAATGGGGGGTAATGGGGAAGGTGGTTCGAGGGGGGCAAGAGGACAGGGGCCTCTCTCTTCTCTCTGGCTCAAAAAGAGAGAGAGAGGCAAACAAATGAAGTGAAGGGTATAGAATTTAAACAATTTAGTCTAGGAAGAAGAGAAGGGGTCCCTCAGAGTACCACCCCTCCCTGGCCTCTTCTCCTTCACTCTTTTATTTCTCTCTCTATCTCCTCACCCTTGCTTTTCTCTCCTCTTCCTTCCAGCTAAGCTCCTGTGAAATTCCCGGCCACTTCACAATCCTCTCCATCTAATTAAATCTCCAACATATCAGGTAAGACTCCACAATATTCACTCTTAAATCTCTTCGTCTCTGGAGTTCAGCCCCCCCAGCCTCCATCAAGACTCATCTAGGATGAGTCACCCAGTTTTAACTTTGTAGTTTCTTAGTGCTAGTAGGTGGAAATTTAGATTTGTTGTCCTGATGAGCTACACAGGAGAATAGTAACATTTTTTTTCCTAAAATGAAACACACTGTTCATTCAAAAGTAGTGAGTATACTTACAAAACACTGAAACAGATGGTGTGAAAATGGTGTGAAAATTGAATTGCATCCATTTTAGGGAAAAAAAAAAATATATATATATATATATATATATATATATATATATATATATA